CGGGTTAAGTTTATATAAGGCAGTAAAAGAAAATGGAAGTCAAAAGGATAATGAATAAACTTTACTGCAAGTGTTGGTGGTTCTATCGTTTTAAAAACTGAGTTCGACTGCAGTGTTAAAATTAGTGGTGAGGCGGCCAGCGGAGGCGAGGATGTGGCAGCCAAATATCCTCACGTTTTGAAGAAAATAAATAACAAAAAGGCACAATACCGTGACTGGAACAATACACGAATAACCCGCACATAGAAGAGAGCTTACAATGACGTTTCGGTCTGACTTGGACCATTTACAAAGTCAGACCGAAACATCGTCGTAAGTTCCTTTCTTCTATGTGCAGGTTATGTCTGTATTTAAGAAAATAATTCAAGAAGGTGGATATGCTGATCAACATATTTTTAATGTCGACGAGACAGGCTTGTTCTGGAAACAGATGCCTTCAAGAACTTAAATTTCTAGGGAAGACAAAACTCAACCTGGATTTAAAGTATTTAAGGATTACCTAACTAGATAGAAACCTAAAGTCAGTACCTGACCAGCCGGTCTGTGGTTCGTATGTTTGTATGCAGCCAGCAACAACAGCCTGGTTGATCAGGCTCTGATCCACTGCGAGGCCTGGTCTTGGACCAGTCTGCAGGGGCCTTGACCCCCAAAATACCTGCCAGGTATACCTCTCTTATTGGGAGGTAATGCAGTAGAGGTTTTAAAAAATAAAACCAATGACTGTTCATCAGTCTGCAAAACCAATGACTGTTCATCAGTCTGCAAAACCAATGACTGTTCATCAGTCTGCAAAACCAATGACTGTTCATCAGTCTGCAAAACCAATGACTGTTCATCAGTCTGCAAAACCAATGACTGTTCATCAGTCTGCAAAACCAATGACTGTTCATCAGTCTGCAAAACCAATGACTGTTCATCAGTCTGCAAAACCAATGACTGTTCGTCAGTCTGCAAAACCAATGACTGTTCGTCAGTCTGCAAAACCAATGACTGTTCATCAGTCTGCAAAACCAATGACAGTTCGTCAGTCTGCAAAACCAATGACTGTTCGTCAGTCTGCAAAACCAATGACTGTTCATCAGTCTGCAAAACCAATGACTGTTCATCAGTCTGCAAAACCAATGACTGTTCATCAGTCTGCAAAACCAATGACTGTTCATCAGTCTGCAAAACCAATGACTGTTCATCAGTCTGCAAAACCAATGACTGTTCATCAGTCTGCAAAACCAATGACTGTTCGTCAGTCTGCAAAACCTCATGATATGGGAGGCTACAACCATCAATTACTTCCAGTTCTTTGACAGTCAAATAAAAAAGTACGAGTGATTAAAACTGTTATTGAAGACTGTTTTTCAAATTATTTCTGCCCACTTGTTGAAAAATATTGCAACAACAATAATAGCGATGTTGAAAAATTGATGTAAGGATAATGGTATCACTGTTGAAAAATACTGCAAGGGCTATATTACTGTTGGAAAATATTGCAAAGACAACAATACCACATTTAAAACATTACCAATATTGGATAATGTTCCATGTCATCCATCTACACTTGGCTTATTGTGTGACAATATAAAAGTCATTGTTTTTTACTGCCAAATACACCTACCATCCGACTTACGACCGAGCTCGGTTCTGAGAAACCGGTCGTAAGTTGAAATGGTCGCAAGTTGAACTTTACTACTGAATATCAACAAAACATTTTTGTAATGACTTTATTTTATTGTTTTATTTTGGTATTTCATGTTTTACTTTACTTTTTATGTTGTTAGTACTGTGTTTTATACTGTAAGGTTTAGGATAAACACTGTGTACAACACAAATACTGGTTTATTTCCCAGAAATTTGGCATAAAAAACACGGTCGTAAGTTGAGTGGTCGTAAGTCGAGCAGGTCGTAAGTCGGATGGTAGGTGTACATCTTTATTGCAGCCCGTATACCAAGAACCACTGCAACATTTAAGGCCTACTACCCAAGAAAAGCTTTTGATATTGCAAATGCTAAAACTACATGCAACGATGTAATTTCCTTAACTGCCTTGTGGAAAAATTATAACATCAAAGATACAATTGAAAATGCTCACCATGCTTAGCAACAACTAACTTCAAGTACCATGCACCTTGCAGTGTGGAATTGCATTCAGCCATATTGTGTACACCATTTTGAGTGCTCTCTCTCTCAAAAGCAGTCAGTTATTGAAAGAATAACATTGGAAAACGCTTGGTTTTTGACGAACTAGAGTGACGATGTCCAGGAATTGCTCGACTAGCACTCCTAAGAGTTGACTTATGATGACGATCTTTTGGATCAATGAGCATTTGAAGAAGTTGACAATGATTCCCAAGAAACAGACAATATGCAAATGAAGGACTTTATTCTCAAAGAATCTGAAGACAGATATCTTTAAAGCTGTAGAAGTTGTAAAGCAGAAAACTTATGGATGCTGACCCTAATGTCGACCGAAACGGAAAATTCTCTGAGATGTGGATAAAGCTCCCTGCACCTACCAACGCACCTTACCTTTGATGAGTTTCGAGAGTCTCGCTACTCTCAGAGGCCGGCCATGGACCAGGCTCATCTGGTCCTTGCCTGGTCAACCAGGCTGTTGCTGCTGGAGGCCCACTGCCTCACATATCCATCACAGCCTGGTTGATCTGGCACCTGGTGAAAATACATGTCCTGTTTCCTCTTGAAGCCTTCTACACTTGTTCCAGCCGTGTTTCTGATATCTTCTGGCAAGATGCTGAACAGTCAGGGGCCACGAATGTATGGTACGGGAATGAAGATTTAAAGAAAGAGATGACTATTCAGCCTACACTGTTAAAATATTTTAAATGACAATATTGATGCATTTGTCATACTGTCAGGTACAATATTTAATCATTTTTTTTTATATTTTTCTTTGTATAACTATTTGTAATACACCTGAATCAGAAATACATTTTTCTTATCCATTGCTTTTATATTATCTTAGATAAAGAAAACTTGTTTAAAAATTTTTATAGCATATTTTCAATGGGCTCGAACCAATTAATATATTTTACATATAACTTCGAATATTGCGAATTTGAATACTGCGACCACTTCACAAGATTCATTATTCACATTAATCAAGACCTAGCTGTATATTAACTGTAATATGTAATGTCAGTGAATGCATTAACAGTAGCAATAAATGTAAAATATACGTAAACTTTAATTTGTACAATGATCACTGATCAAAATTCACTGATGACATCCCAGGTGATGGAGTCACACACTGGGCACTACTACGGTCCCTCAGTAATATTCCAGGTGATGGAGTCACACACTGGGCACTACTACGGACCCTCAGTAATATTCCAGGTGATGGAGTCACACACTGGGCACTACTACGGACCCTCAGTAATATTCCAGGTGATGGAGTCACACACTGGGCACTACTACGGACCCTCAGTAATATTCCAGGTGATGGAGTCGCACACTGGGCACTACTACGGACCCTCAGTAATATTCCAGGTGATGGAGTCACACACTGGGCACTACTACGGACCCTCAGTAATATTCCAGGTGATGGAGTCACACACTGGGCACTACTACGGACCCTCAGTAATATTCCAGGTGATGGAGTCACATACTGGGCACTACTACGGACCCTCAGTAATATTCCAGGTGATGGAGTCACACACTGGGCACTACTACGGACCCTCAGTAATATTCCAGGTGATGGAGTCACATACTGGGCACTACTACGGACCCTCAGTAATATTCCAGGTGATGGAGTCGCACACTGGGCACTACTACGGACCCTCAGTAATATTCCAGGTGATGGAGTCACACACTGGGCACTACTACAGACCCTCAGTAATATTCCAGGTGATGGAGTCACACACTGGGCACTACTACGGACCCTCAGTAATATTCCAGGTGATGGAGTCGCACACTGGGCACTACTACGGACCCTCAGTAATATTCCAGGTGATGGAGTCGCACACTGGGCACTTCTACGGTCCCTCAGTAATATTCCGGGTGATGGAATCACATACTGGGCACTACTACGGACCCTCAGTAATATTCCAGGTGATGGAGTCACACACTGGGCACTACTACGGACCCTCAGTAATATTCCGGGTGATGGAGTCACACACTGGGCACTACTACGGACCCTCAGTAATATTCCAGGTGATGGAGTCACACACTGGGCACTTCTACAGTCCCTCAGTAATATTCCGGGTGATGGAGTCACACACTGGGCACTACTACGGTCCCTCAGTAATATTCCAGGTGATGGAGTCACACACTGGGCACTTCTACAGTCCCTCAGTAATATTCCGGGTGATGGAGTCACACACTGGGCACTACTACGGCCCCTCAGTAATATTCCAGGTGATGGAGTCACACACTGGGCACTACTACGGTCCCTCAGTAATATTCCGGGTGATGGAGTCGCACACTGGGCACTACTACGGTCCCTCAGTAATATTCCAGGTGATGGAGTCACACACTGGGCACTACTACGGACCCTCAGTAATATTCCAAGTGATGGAGTCACACACTGGGCACTACTACGGTCCCTCAGTAATATTCCAGGTGATGGAGTCACACACTGGGCACTACTACGGACCCTCAGTAATATTCCAGGTGATGGAGTCACATACTGGGCACTACTACGGTCCCTCAGTAATATTCCAGGTGATGGAGTCACACACTGGGCACTACTACGGACCCTCAGTAATATTCCAGGTGATGGAGTCACACACTGGGCACTACTACGGTCCCTCAGTAATATTCCAGGTGATGGAGTCACACACTGGGCACTACTACGGTCCCTCAGTAATATTCCGGGTGATGGAGTCACACACTGGGCACTACTACGGTCCCTCAGTAATATTCCGGGTGATGGAGTCACACACTGGGCACTACTACGGACCCTCAGTAATATTCCGGGTGATGGAGTCACACACTGGGCACTACTACGGTCCCTCAGTAATATTCCGGGTGATGGAGTCACACACTGGGCACTACTACGGACCCTCAGTAATATTCCGGGTGATGGAGTCACACACTGGGCATTACTACGGACCCTCAGTAATATTCCGGGTGATGGAGTCACACACTGGGCACTACTACGGACCCTCAGTAATATTCCAGGTGATGGAGTCACACACTGGGCACTACCAGACCTTCAGTAATGAGAGCCTGTGTTACTTCAGGCACTGCAATAATATAGGTACCATTGCTGTGTTGCTCCAGCACATCCACAATGACTTCTGAATATTTGGGAAGAAGCTGGCCAATTCTTGCTGCTGCTGCTTTCTGTATCCCATGCTCAGAGATGCCTAAAATAAGAACAACATTTATTACAGTGTGTGAAATGGAAACTTGTAATTGTTTTACATGATGGTAAAATTGCTCGTGTCTTCTTTGTCTCATAAACTTCTACTTACACTTAGGTCACACTACACATACATGTACAAGCATATATATACACACACCTCTGGGTTTTCTTCTATTTTCTTTCTAGTTCTTATTCTTGTTTATTTCCTCTTATCTCCATGGGGAAGTGGAACAGAATTCTTCCTCCGTAAGCTATGCATGTTGTAAGAGGCGACTAAAATGCCGGGAGCAAGGGGCTAGTAACCCCTTCTCCTGTATAAATTACTAAATTTAAAAAGGGAAACTTTCATTTTTCTATTTGGGCCACTCCGCCTTGGTGGGATACGGCCGGTGTGTTGAAAAAAACAAAAACAGGTTTATCTTGCTACTTCTTCTTACACTTAAGTTACACTACTTAGGTTACACTACCTACGTTACATTACACATGCACGTACATACATATATGTTTATATACCCATCTGGGTTTTCTTCTATTTTCTTAATAGGTCTCGTTCTTTTTTACTGTATTTCTTATTTCCATGGGGAAGTGGAACACAATTCTTCCTCCCTAAGCCATGCGTGTCATAAGAGGCAACTTAAATGCCTCGAAAGGCCTCTATAAACACATCTACCACTAGCACAGGCGCCATGATTCCAGTTAACTTAAAAATGAATACGTGTCGATGCATGAAATAATTAGAGGCACGTGGTGTTGAGAGTAACGAAGTCGGGACCAGTCAGTACCTCCTCCCTCATGCTAAGGGGGAGGGGGAAGAGGCAGGGTGTATAGGCGAAGATGAGGGAACACTGGTTTTAAGAAATGCACATACCCACATCTTTCATGATGTGAAGGAAAACAAATAAATGTGTTTAACGTAAGCAGAACAGTGTGAACAACAGTGTGCAACCCATGCGTAATATACAGTGACTGCCCCTTTCCCCAGGCCTGCCTCACGTGTGGTGTACAGTGACCCTCCTGCACTTCCCTTAACCCCTCAACCTGGGCTTCCCCTGCTATGGTCACCGACACTGTGCATAGTAGCCAAGCCTATATATAAGTCCTATACATACCTATTATAAAGTTTAATTAATAAACTAAGCAAAATAAGCGAAGAATTATCACTTTTTCACTGACGGGAAGCACTTCACAGCTTCTCTTAGGCTTTGAAGAGCTACCAGCTTCTCTACTCTTGCACTCTGGGGTCAATATTTTGCAAAATTAAGAGGTATTTTTGGGCCACAGTAAACTGTGGATAACTGAAATCACAGATACTGAATAAGTGGATACGGGGGTTCTACCGTACTTAAGAACTAAACACAGCATTAACTAGGTCTTCTTGAGTTGTTAAATACAATCACATGTTCAACAAGGTAGCTAATGAGAGGTTAATTACAAAGAATATTCCGAACATAATAGTCTACGTCTAAAACTTAAGTAGTCGTCAATATCAGAATTAGTCTACCCAAAATGCACAAGATAGTGGCTTTCTTTTCTGTATTGACAATGTTTAATTACATGTTAACTATATTATTTAAATTGCATAAGAATTGTATTGTACTGGTAAGTGTCCAGTATACTGTCCAGAATACTGGTAACTCTCCAGTGTATTGTCTAGAATACTGGTAACTGTCCAGTATTATTATTTTTTTATTAACACACTGGCCGATTCCCACCAAGGCAGGGCGGATTGAAAAAGAAAAACTTTCACCATCATTCGCTCCATCACTGTCTTACCAGAAGGGTGTTTTACACTACAGTTTTTAAACTGCAACATTAACACTCCTCCTTCAGAGTGCAGGCACTGTACTTCCCATCTCCAGGACTCAAGTCCAGCCTGCCGGTTTCCCTGAACCCCTTCATAAATGTTACTTTGCTCACACTCCAAAAGCACGTCAAGTATTAAAAACCATTTGTCTAAATTCACTCCTATCAAACACGCTCACGCATGCCCGCTGGAAGTCCAAGCCCCTCGCACACAAAACCTCCTTTACCCCCTCCCTCCAACCTTTCCTAGGCCGGCCCCTATCCCGCCTTCCTTCCGCACAGACTGATACACTCTTGAAGTCATTCTGTTTCGCTCCATTCTCTCTACATGTCCAAACCACCTCAACAACCCTTCCTCAGCCCTCTGGACAACAGTTTTGGTAATCCCGCACCTCCTAACTTCCAAACTACGAATTCTCTGCATTATATTCACACCACACATTGCCCTCAGACATGACTATCTCCACTGCCTCCAGCCTTCTCCTCGCTGCAACATTCATCACCCATGCTTCACACCCATATAAGAGCGTTGGTAAAACTATACTCTCATACATTCCCCTTTTTGCCTCCAAGGACAAAGTTCTTTGTCTCCACAGACTACTAAGTGCACCGCTCACCCTTTTACCCTCATCAATTCTATGATTCAACTCATCTTTCATAGATCCATCCGCTGACACGTCCACTCCCAAATATCTGAATACATTCACCTCCTCCATACTCTCTCCCTCCAATCTGATACCCAATCTGTCATCACCTAATCTTTTTGTTATCCTCATAACCTTACTTTTTCCTGTATTCACTTTTAATTTTCTTCTTTTACATACCCTACCAAATTCATCCACCAACCTCTGCAACTTCTCTTCAGAATCTCCCAAGAGCACAGTGTCATCAGCAAAGAGCAACTGTGACAACTCCCACTTTATGTGTGATTCTTTATCTTTTAACTCCACGCCTCTTGCCAAGACCCTCGCATTTACTTCTCTTACAACCCCATCTATAAATATATTAAACAACCACAGTGACATCACACATCCTTGTCTGAGGCCTACTTTTACTGGGAAATAATCTCCAGTATATTGTCCAGAATACTGGACAGTATAATGGTAAGTGTCCAGTATACTGGTAAGTGTCTAGTATATTGTCCAGAATACTGGCAACTGTCCAGTATACTGGTAAGTGTCCACTTGAATCTTACCATGAAGAATGCAGTGTAGAGCTAGACAAGGCAGCTCCAGGAATGACTCTTGTATCTGGCGTATACTGTTGTAAGGCACTTCCTCCGTGTTTCCATAATCGATGAAAATAACCAGTGCCGACTCCAGCTCCGGCCTGATGCATGCTGCTCTGTACCACCTCTGATCTGTGTCGTATATATGACAGTGTTGATCAATAAAAATAACTTTGTATTACCTGTGATCAGTGAGGTATATATGTATGACAGTGTTAACCCTTTCAGGGTTTCGGCTGTACTAGTACGGCTTACGCACCAGGGTTTCGGCCATACTAGTACGGCTTACACACCAGGGTTTTTGATGTACTAGCACGCCTAAATTCTAGCGCCCTCAAATCTAGTGAGAGAAAGCTGGTAGGCCTACATATGAAAGAATGGGTCTATGTGGTCAGTGTTGCGCAGTATAAAAAAAATCCTGCAGCACACAGTGTGTAATGAGAAAAAAAAAAACTTTGACCGTGTTTCTGGATTAAAACAGCGACTTTGCACTGTATTTTCGTATGGTATTTACTGTTGTATTCTAGTTTTCCTGGTCTCATTTTATAGAATGGAAGACATATTATAGAAATTGAGATGATTTTAACTGATTTCACAATGAAAGGTACCTTGAAATTGAGCTCAAAGTAGCAGAAATGTTCGATTTTTACCAAAGTTCAAAAGTAAACAAATCATGCCAAGCGTCCAATACACGTCAACTGGTGAGTCTAATATTCTTTCACAAGTGCGCTGATATTATTTATACAATTTCTACACTAATGCAGTAGTCTGCATAACAGTAAATCTTCTATTTTTTGTGAGAATAAAAATTCAAAGTGGAAAGCAAAAGAGATGTAAGAGGGGCCTGGGGACATGACTAATGAACAGAGGAAATGTCATTTTAGTGCCAGGAATGTCTTTCTTGTTTATTCTGAACATTATTTGGAAATTGGCATCTTTTGAAATTTGTGTGATATTGGCAAAATTGCTAAATTCTGACCACTGTATTGGATAGTTGAGATCGGTAAATGGGTGGTTTCTTGTACTCATTCAATAGAACAATGGAGTTCTAGCGAAATAGTTATGATTTTTGTCGACTAGTACACTGGAATTGGCCGAAAATAGGGCTCAAAGTGGGCAAAATAGCCGATGCGTAAATACTGTCGAGACCGCTAACTTCGCGAGAGCATAATTCAGTAAGTTTTCCATCAAATTTCATACTTTTGGTGTCATTATGATCGGGAAAAGATTCTCTATCTTTTCATAAGTAAAAATATTTTTTTTTTGTTGAAATTTGGGCGACCCTGAGAACAAGTCTGGGAGAGTGCCTGGGGACCCTGAAAGGGTTAATCAATAAAGATATCTTTGTATTTCCTATGATCAGTGAGGTAGGTAGGTAGGTGTAGGTGTGTAGGTAGGTGTAGGTGTGTAGGTAGGTGTAGGTGTGTAGGTAGGTAGGTGTGTAGGTAGGTAGGTGTGTAGGTAGGTAGGTGCATAGGTAGGTAGGTGTGTAGGTAGGTAGGTGTGTAGGTAGGTAGGTGTGTAGGTAGGTAGGTGTGTAGGTAGGTAGGTGTGTAGGTAGGTAGGTGCATAGGTAGGTAGGTGTGTAGGTAGGTAGGTGTGTAGGTAGGTAGGTGTGTAGGTAGGTAGGTGTGTAGGTAGGTAGGTGCATAGGTAGGTAGGTAGGTGTGTAGGTAGGTAGGTGCTAGTAGGTAGGTAGGTGTGTAGGTAGGTAGGTGTAGGTAGGTAGGTTGTAGGTAGGTGGGGTGTAGGTAGGTAGGTGTGTAGGTAGGTAGGTGTGTAGGTAGGTTTGGTGTGTAGGTAGGTAGGTGTGTAGGTAGGTAGGTGCATAGGTAGTAGGTGTAGGTAGGTAGGTGTGTAGGTAGGTGGTGTAGGGAGGTAGGTGTGTAGGTAGGTAGGTGTGTAGGTAGGTAGGTGTGTAGGTGGTAGGTGTGTAGGTAGGTAGGTGTGTAGGTAGGTAGGTAGGTGTAGGTAGGTAGGTGTGTAGGTAGGTAGGTGCGTAGGTAGGTAGTGGTAGGTAGGTAGTGTGTAGGTAGGTAGGTGTGTAGGTAGGTAGGTAGTGTGTAGGTAGGTAGGTAGGTGTGTAGGTAGGTAGGTGTGTAGGTAGGTAGGTGCATAGGTAGGTAGGTGTGTAGGTAGAGTGAGTGGAGTGAGTGGAGTGATGGAGTGGTGGAGTGAGAGTGAGAGTGAGAGTGAGTGAGAGTGAGAGTGAGTGAGAGTGAGTGAGAGTGAGTGAGAGTGAGTGAGAGTGAGTGAGAGTGAGTGAGAGTGAGTGAGAGTGAGTGTGAGTGAGTGAGTGAGAGTGAGTGAGAGTGAGTGAGAGTGAGTGAGAGTGAGTGAGAGTGAGTGAGAGTGAGTGAGTGAGTGAGTGAGTGAGTGAGTGAGTGAGTGAGAGTGAGTGAGAGTGAGTGAGAGTGAGAGTGAGAGAGTGAGAGAGAGAGTGAGAGAGTGAGAGAGTGAGAGAGAGTGAGAGAGAGTGAGTGAGAGTGAGAGTGAGAGTGAGTGAGAGTGAGTGAGAGTGAGAGTGAGAGAGAGTGAGAGTGAGTGAGAGTGAGAGTGAGAGAGAGTGAGAGAGAGTGAGAGAGAGTGAGAGAGAGTGAGAGCGTGCGTGCGTGCGTGCGTGCGTGCGTGTGTATTTTTTTTTTTTTTCAACAAGTCGGCCGTCTCCAACCGAGGCAGGGTGACCCAAAAAAAGAAAGAAAATCCCCAAAAAGAAAATACTTTCATCATCATTCAACACTTTCACCACACTCACACATTATCACTGCTTTTGCAGAGGTGCTCAGGCGGGGTAGGGGTCGGCCTAGGAAAGGTTGGAGGGAGGGGGTAAAGGAGGTTTTGTGTGCGAGGGGCTTGGACTTCCAGCAGTCGTGCGTAAACGTGTTTGATAGGAGTGAATGGAGACAAATGGTTTTTAATACTTGACGTGCTGTTGGAGTGTGAGCAAATTAACATTTACGAAGGGGTTCAGGGAAACCGGCAGGCCGGACTTGAGTCCTGGAGATGGGAAGTACAGTGCCTGCACTCTGAAGGAGGGGTGTTAATGTTGCAGTTTAAAAACTGTAGTGTAAAGCACCCTTCTGGCAAGACAGTGATGGAGTGAATGATGGTGAAAGTTTTTCTTTTTCGGGCCACCCTACCTTGGTGGGAATCGGCCAGTGCGTTAATAAAAAAAAAAAAAAAAATTCAATTCCCAGCCAGGGTAGAAACATTGGGTGTGTTTCTTTACACCTGTTGTCTATGTTCACCCATCAGTAAATAATAAATAATGTCAACCCATAAATAAATAATGTCAACCCAGTCGTGACTGCGCATTGGAATTTGGACTGGCAGGCAGACAGGTATTGGACGGTGACGTCATTTGTTTACTCTTGAGCTTCGCTAAAGAATAGAACATTTCCGCTACTGTGAGCGCAATTTCAAGGTACTTTTCATTATGAAAGCAATGAAAATCATATGTTTTCCTGTAATATATCTTCCATTCTATAAAATAAGACCGAGAAAACGAGAATATAACCATAAAAAACATACAAAAATATACCGCTAAGTGGCCGCTAATGGCTGAGAAGTGAACTCCGCTATTTATGGTCTGATTTCTTTCATTTTTGGTGTAAGTTAAGAATTATCTTTCCATCATACATTGCCCAAGTTTCAGTAAGATAACCCAACAAACAACTGAGAAAATAATAGTAATAATAATAATAATAATATCTTTATTTACTACACGTACATGTACAAGGTATACAGGCCTAGCTGACATCAGTGACATACTACTATATAGAAAGCCGCTTGTTATGCCGAGTATATCAAGCAAATTTGGTCAGTGTCCCAGGATAACACCCAGGTACCCATTTACTGATGGGTGAACATAGACAGGAGGCGTAAAGAAACACACCCAATGTTTCTACCCTGGCTGGGAATCGAATATTTACCAAAAATCATACATGGCTAACCCAAGCCAGGTACTAGAAATAAGCCACTTTGTCTGACTTTTTTGGGTTATCCCAGGTTCTCTACACACATGCTGCTATGTGTGATAATCTTTTGTGTGATAATCTTTTTTGTTCAGTTTTATGGTGCAGTAAGAGTGTATATCACAGTTAACCCTGTGCTACACTCCATTTTCTCTAACATAAGCCCCCAAGACGGATAGGAGAATGGTACTTGTATCCCATGTCCTTCATATTACCGTTGAACTGCTCGGTATTATGCCAAATATTATTCATTCTGGAGTATTTAACACGTTTTATGTTATTTATATTGTTTATTATGTCATATTAGATCAATTGTGATAGACAAAAAGCTGTAGTGTTGATATTAGCGTAATAATAAAGCATATTCTCCTGCATCACGAGACTGAGCTCATGGCAACCAACAGTGGCTTCAAAGCCACCTTATCGTTAATGGATAATGTACTGTGTAGGTGCTTTACACAACGAAAAGCACTTTTTATTCATTGGAACCATGGCTAGGGCTTAAAGTAAGCAGGTTATAACAATAAATGGAGAAAAAGAAATTATAATGACTTATGCAGTAAGTAGCGCCGCCAAACAGTACCAGCAGGTTGGTGTGGCGACCCTGGAAATTTGAAATTATGCTAACCGAAATTAGTGCCGAATAACTGAAGGAACCGAATAACTGATTGCCGGATTTGTGATGGCGGACCTGTAGTACATCCATATCCCTCTGGTATTTTTATACCAGAATAAGAGTACAGTGGACCCCCGGTTAACGATATTTTTTCATTCTAGAAGTATGTTCAGGTGCCAGTACTGACCGAATTTGTTCCCATAAGGAATATTGTGAAGTAGATTAGTCCATTTCAGACCCCCAAACATACACGTACAAACGCACTTACATAAATACACTTACATAATTGGTCGCATTGGGAGGTGATTGTTAAGCGGGGGTCCACTGTATAAGGTCTGACAAAAGGGCACTCTATACATGCTTGTAGTACATCCATATCCCTCTGGTGTGTCTATAATGGAACATTAAAAGTGTAAGAGAGTGAGTGTTGTTGGTGCTCACCTTCACTGAACTTGGCCAGGCATAGTTCCCCAAGTATGGGTCTGTAGAAGCCCCCAGAGGCATTCTCACAGTACTTCTTCATGTGATCCATCATCTCCTCCAGCTTTCCAATGAGATGCAGAGAATCCTGAAACAAAACCAATGTAAGCCTTAGCTTGCAATCAATATTTTTGACCTATTCAGTAAATTACCTTACAGTTAGTTTCCTAAAAAAAAAAAAAAAAAAAAAAAAAAAAAAAAAAAAAAAAAAAAAAAAAAAAAAAAAATTACTACTCAATAACCTATGTCTAGCTCTTATGTTGTCTTTAAGCATTAGGATTAGTCTGCACAAAAAGCACAGTGTGTTAGTGGCTTTTTTTGTGCTTAACAATATTTCATTACGTGTAAACTACATTTCATATAAACAGTGAAACTTCGGTATACGACCAGCTCCCTACTCAGACAAAGCTCAGCACTTGACCAAACAAATACGACCTACCAGAACTTTGTTGTAACCTATTTCGTGTTTCTTCACATTTTTTTTTTTGTATTATTTGTATAAGTAAGTCACCATGGGGCCTACGAAGATTAGCAATAACAGCCAACCAAACAGAAAATTGGTTGGGAGGAACTTGTTCGATAATCAAACGGAGCGGCACTCAAACAGCCGTCTGGAAAGAATTAAGGTTGCGTACCGAGGTTCCACTGTATACTACAGAAAGAAATAAAGTCGTTTGTTCCCAACACCTTGTACAAGACCCATTAAGAAAAACTATGTAGTCTTAGTACTAATCTTCCATGCTGTGTATATTATGACCTTTCAAACTGTTATGTATTTTTGTGCAATTATTTAAAATAAAAATTATTACAGGCACTCCTCACTTAACGACTGAGTTCGGTTCCTAAGAGCAGGTCAGTTATCAATTTGGTCGTTAAGCGAGGAGCCGCCTCTTACTGACATTTCAAGCATACTGTACTAGTAGTGGGTTTGAGTCAACCATCTTCAGGTATTGTTTTAACCCGTAAACGGTCCAAACGTATATATACGTTTTTTCAATTTTGAAAGCATGTAAAAACAGTAGATGTTCTTTTTGTTTTTTTTACATTTGAAAATGTGTAAAAAAAACTTTGATCTACTTTTTTTTTTGTTATATTTGAAAATATGTAAAAAAAAAAGTAGCTCTACTTTCGGAGCACTACACATGTGAACGTAGATCTGCTTGGACCGTTTACGGGTTAATGTCATCTTTGCACACTTTATATTTTTAGATCATGTATAATAAAAATAGAATTTGGCATTAAAAAAGAATAAAAAAGTGAAATACACATACAGTAGATTGGTCAGAGAGGTGGCTGTAAGCAGTCATTAAATATGTAGGTCGTTAAGTAAGGAGTACCTGTATTACATAGAGCCTCTCCTCATTTACCGACTACTCAGACTTGTAACCACCTCTTTAACCAGTATATATAAGAGCTGATTTCCTCTATTCTGCTTATTACAGTATACAGTAAACTACTGTATAAACATTTAAAAATACAGTATACCAGAAATGTTATAAATGGTACAAAGGTGACATTAAAAAAAATCTAAAGATGGTTGACACAAACCCACTACCATTATAGTATGTTCCTCGCTTAGTATGTTCCTCGCTTAGTATGCTCCTCACTTAGTATGCTCCTCGCTTAGTATGCTCCTCGCTTAGTATGCTCCTCGCTTAGTATGCTCCTCGCTTAGTATGCTCCTCGCTTAGTATGCTCCTCGCTTAGTATGCTCCTCGCTTAGTATGCTCCTCGCTTAGTATGCTCCTCGCTTAGTATGTTCCTCGCTTAGTATGCTCCTCGCTTAGTATGCTCCTCGCTTAGTATGCTCCTCGCTTAGTATGCTCCTCGCTTAGTATGCTCCTCGCTTAGTATGCTCCTCGCTTAGTATGCTCCTCGCTTAGTATGCTCCTCGCTTAGTATGCTCCTCACTTAGTATGCTCCTCGCTTAGTATGCTCCTCGCTTAGTATACTCCTCGCTTAGTATGTTCCTCACTTAGTATGCTCCTCACTTAGTATGCTCCTCACTTAATATGCTCCTCACTTAGTATGCTCCTCGCTTAGTATGCTCCTCACTTAGTATGCTCCTCGCTTAACGACCAATACACTTACTGACCTACTCTTAGGAGCGGAACCCCATCGTTAAGTGAGGGGAGGCTGTATTATTTAATAGTAGTGCAGTATGTATTTTTCATGTTAAGTGAAGGATTGTTGGAGAACACGTCCATATTATCATTAATTCTATATTAATTTTGAAGTTTATTGAGCACTGGAGTTACAACTTGAGAAGCTGTAAGACGCTTTATCTTTTACCGAGGTCTTAGTTTTTGTTGTTTAGAAACAAAGACGACGATGATATGAGAGACAAAAGTGGAAGATGTAAGATGCTTTACAAGTACAGTATCTACAAATACACGATGATTTTCAAGTACTACAGTATCTAAAAACGTAAGATGTTTTACAAGTACAGTATTTACAAATGTAATACGGTTTACAAGAACAGCAACTAGAAGTGAAAGATGTAAAATGCTTTACTTAACCCTTAACACTTAAACGGTCCAAATAGATCGACGTTCAAATTCGTAGCTACAAAAGTAGATCTACTTTTTTTTACATATTTTCAAATATAACAAAAAAAATGTAGATAATTTTTTTTTAAATAATAATAATAATAACAATGTGTTGAATGATGATGAAAGCATTTTCTTTTTGGGGATTTTCTTTCTTTTTTGGGTCACCCTGCCTCGGTGGGAGACGGCCAACTTGTTAAAAAAAGAAAAAAAAAAAAAAAATTTACACGTTTTCACATGTATATATACGTTTGGACCATTTTAAGGGTTAAACTGTCCAAATGTAGATATACGTTGATGTGCGGCAGGCTCCGAACGTAATTTCTATTTTTTTTTTACATGCTTTCAAATGGGGAAAATCAAGGTCAGAGCACTATGCACGTGAACGTAGATCTACGTTTGGACAGTATAAGGGATATATACCATTTAAAAGTGGAAAATTTCAGATTCTTTATACAGTGGACCCCCGGTTTACGATATTATTTCATTCCAGAAGTATGTTCATGTGCCAGTACTGAACGAATCTGTTCCCATAAGGTATACAGTGGACCCCCGCATAACGATGGCATCGCATAGCGATTTTTCCGCATAACGATTACTTTTATCGCAAAATTTTTGCCCCGCATACCGATTAAAAACCCGCATACCGATTTTCGTCCGAGACGCGTCCAATGTGCCCTCACATGTGCCGGCCGTCCCACTGTTTACCAGCCAGCCTCCGCGGTAACATCCAAGCATACACTCGGAATATTTCGTATTATTACAGTGTTTTCGGTGGTGTTTCTGGAAAATAAGTGACCATGGGCCCCAAGAAAGCTTCTAGTGCCAACCCTGTGGTAAAAAGGGTGAGAATTAGTATGGAAATTAAGAAAGATTTTGAAGGGTTTGGGCTAACCCTGAGAAGCCTATGCCAGTTGTGGAATCCATTGTGCCTACTTCAAAGATTAAGGAAATGTGTGCAGAGTGGTTTGAACTGCAAACCTTTATAGATGAAAATCACCCTGACACAGCTGTTGCAAGCCGTGCTTGTGACTATTTCAATGACAATGTTTTTGGCCCATTTTAGGAAAGTCTTGAAGAAACGGGAGGTACAGAGCTCTATGGACAGATTTGTTGTGCGACAGAGGTCCAGTGACTCTCAAGCTGGTCCTAGTGGCATTAAAAGAAGAAGGGAAGTAAACCCCCGAAAAGGACTTGCTACCTCAAGTCGTAATGGAAGGGGATTCCCCTTCTAAACAGTAAGAAGATAATGCTCTCCCCTCCTCCCATCCCATCAATCATCACCAGATCTTCAATAAAAGTAAGTGTCATGTAATTGTGCATGCCTTTTTCAGTTTGTGTGTATTAAAATTAACATTTCATGTGGTAAAAAAAAATTTTTTTCATACTTTTGGGCGTCTTGCACGGATTAATTTTATTTCCATTATTTCTTATGGGGAAAATTAATTCGCATAACGATTATTTCGCATAACGATGAGCCCTCTTGCACGGATTAAAATCGTTAACCGGGGGTCCACTGTACTGTGAATTAGATTAGTCCATTTCAGACCCCCAAACATACACGTACAAACATACATAAATACAATTACATAATTGGTCGCATTGGGAACTGATCGTAAAGCGCGGGTCCACTGTATATAAAAAGTACTTATCTTGTCTGGAACCGCTGAGGTCGTTGATGTAGATAAGACATAAAAGGAGACAAACTGCTGAAAACAACCTTACCGTCTTCAAGGAATACGTAAGGAAGCGAAAGAGTAAACTTATGTCACTAAAGACTATTATTATTACTATTATTACTTGTGGCAAACAAGTAGAAACAATAATAATAGTCAAGCTTAACTGTAAAAACAATAATAATAGTCAAGCTTAACTGTAAAAACAATAATAATAGTCAAGCTTAACTGTAAAAACAATAATAATAGTAAAGCTTAACTGTAAAAACAATAATAATAGTCAAGCTTAACTGTAAAAACAATAATAATAGTCAAGCTTAACTGTAAAAACAATAATAATAGTAAAGCTTAATTGTAAAAACAATAATAATAGTCAAGCTTAACTGTAAAAACAATAATAATAGTCAAGCTTAATTGTAAAAACAATAATAATAGTCAAGCTTAATTGTAAAAACAATAATAATAGTCAAGCTTAATTGTAAAAACAATAATAATAGTCAAGGTGATTTCATCAACAATATGAACAACACACTTCTCATACCAACAATAACTAAACCAACCAGGCTCACTGAGACAAGTGCAACCATAATAGACCACATATGGACCAATATACTAGCCCCCCTTAAATCAGGGATAATCACAGATAGCTCTACAGACCACTACCCTACCTTCCTCCTGACAAACATTAGTAAACCACCACTTGAATACAACAAAGTCTCATTTAGACTCCATGACGAGGCCTCAGTAAGGAAGTTCACAGCTGACCTAGAGACTGTTGACTGGCCTACAGAATTCTCCAAGGCCAATGGTATTGATGACTGGACAGACATCTTTCTTAATAAATTACTTAGACTATACAACAA